AAGATGATAAAATTTCTGTTAACAACTGGTGTCATATTTTGCTTTCAGCTCGTATTCTGTTCTGCTGGTGAGTGTTATACAATGCAGTATTGTTGCCAGCCGAGCAATTTACATACCAACTAAATTCAAATAGCTTGACTATTTCATTTGGCTGCATTGCCACATTCGTATACGTTACTACCACGTATACAGTACGCTACTAATATCTCTGCTTCGTTATGATATTGTGATTACTACATCCAAAACGAATGTCCAGTTTAAAAGTTGGCTGTTGTTATCTAACTTTTCTAGGGTTAGTTTAAATAAGGTTATATCATTAGCATTATGTTTTCAACATAACATTAGTTTTTACTGCTTGCAAGTCGCAAATGTTTGAGCGTTTACCGTTCGCGAACGCCTATAGTTATACCTTACAACTAGACAGACAATGACCTTACGATATGAGTCTAAAAACCTGAAATAAGAAATTTATATTGGACACTGCTTACTGCTTCGTCGTGCGATGATTTAGAGAGTCTAGGATTTGTTACGTACGACATAACTTTGCTAATGAAACCAAAGGCAATATAATTTTGCATTGATATCTTTATTGATACTGAGCGAGCTTAATTTCTGGCTAATAAAATTTACTCGTGTTATTAAAATTCACCCAAAGAAGTTCACGTTGAATTACTAAATGCAATATAAGAATTTATATCGTGGAGTTGGTATAGCAAAAGCGCTACGATAGCTTTTGACACTGTGAATAATAGTAATCGAAAGCGCTTTAAATGTTTGCTGCATGTTACGTGTGCGCGAAATCCGACCGAGGGAACGCTAATAGTAATATAAGCAACCTCCTAATTCGCAAAACCATTTTCTATTTCGCCGCATGTGTTTTGACCTGTTTTGAATTTGCCGGTATATACTATAGCTCTCTATACAGTTAGATCCATTCTGTATTTACTGCATATAAGCTTAATTTTTTGTCTGTTGCATGAGCATTATTCTACGTAAATATAATAGCTATACGTTATCTGTCTTTAGCTACAGTGTATGAATCAAATAGAGCGAACTGTGTTGTCGTGTTCTCTGTTTTCTAAGCTGTGCAGAATTGTTTTGATGATCAGTTTAGTGTACTACCAACTGCATAGTCAGTTTATAGTGAACAATCAACTGTTCGTATCATCTTAAAAAGCACTGAGCCGACTAAACGGGTTAGACTTACCGCGTGCATGCAATTATGTTTTACTTGGATCTAATTGGAAAAAAAGAATAATCTTGTTTTTGAATATTTTTCTCCAGATGAAAAGTCCATTTTTTCGCAAGTTCCGTCTTACAAGTCGAGGTTCAGAGGTAAGTGTAATGAGGGATATTGCGGTGCATGGGTTTCTGACGTCATGTAGCGTTTGGCCTCTATTCCCGGCAGTTTTTGCATACAAACGCATGCAATACGTTAGGAAATGATTAGAGGTTGACGTTTCATGCATGTGTTTCCCAATGCGATGAATTTTATCAATTTCGTAGAGTGGTTTTGTTTGATCGCCAATAACATTTCCTTTAGCTGTTGCTATGACGCAATAATTATAATGTAATATGACTTGAATATTAAAATATTCAACGTTATTTTAACGAGTATTGGAAGTATTCGAACTAAGTGGTTTCACGAACATCGATAAGTTGGTCATTTTTTATCTCACCCTCATTTCTAATTATTAATTTTTATAATTGTGTTTTTATAATCGAGTTGATGCAGTAAAAACAATGGACAAATTGTCTTTTGACAAGTGCTAATCTGAATAATGAACCGAAAACTGAACTGCATGAGACCACCAACCTCGCCGCTTACAGCATGGAATGCATTTCTGGCCATGATTGATCTTTGTTTTGATACAACCTGTACATGATTGTATAATTATGAGTATGACTATATGCCTGATTTTATACCCATTGACTCATAATTTATATGCGTCGTTATGAATCCACCTCGGCAGGAATGAGGTCTGTTGAGAAAAATACCATTTATCACTGCACATTTCTCATTTTATCACTGCACATTCTACTTTATCACTGCATAAATTGGTTATCACTGCACACTAAAATTAAGAATGCATTGTCATCATGATGAGGATATTAAAGGGTTGAGAAAAGTTATGGATTTCATGTACGTGGGTGAATAAAAAAAAGTAAAATAAATTTTACTTGTCTAAAGATGTCTTGTAAGTGTTTTCGTTATATTTCCAAATTTTAGAAATTCGTTTATAAATATTCTGATCGTGACATTCGGACGTACGCGTGCCTTGACCCAAATGTAGTTCCGTGTGGGTTTTACGAGTCTTTTAGTTCCTACAGTACTGCTCAGAAATAACCTAACTGCAGACGCTCCAAACGCGTTCCAGAACGCGTTTCAATCGCGTTCCAGAACGCGTTCCGAATGCGTCCTTGAACGCGTCCGGGACGCGTCCGGAAAGCGTTGCAGGACTTCGATACAGTTTGAATGCTGTGTTATCGCCGGCAAGGAATGAAGTGCAGGTATGAACAAACATGCAATTGTTAACTGAAATAACTTAGCTGAGAGCACGGGTCGATCATTATAATTCAGACCTTCGTTTCACAATATTAGAACCTTAATTGTTTTACATGTAAGGCACAGTATGATATGAATAAAATTCGAAATACGGTAATTACCGTGACTACTGTATACATGCATTGTTTAAATGTATACAAAATAAAAACTAAAAACATTTTAACAGCGTTTTCCTAGCCAAATACTGGCTTTGGCTAAGCATAGCATATCCTAAGGCCATCAAGTCCAAAGATTCTACATACATATTACTATCATTTTCGAATAAGATACACAAGTCACACATGCGCTTATTTTTACGCGAAATAAAATAGCGCTTGTCCCGCAAACTAAAAGCGGAATTAACGAACCGTAGCATAAGCATATTGACTGGTTGTTCCATAATTTTTTCGGAATTTCCGAAGGTACACGAAGCGTCTAAGTGAAAACAATGGAATGCGTTCGGAACGCGTTCGGGAACGCTTTTCGGAACGGGTTCGGGAACGCGTTCGTCGCATTAGGTTACTGCTGAGCAGTACTGTAGTAAAATACTCATATTGTTATGATATTAAATTATACTGTCACACGTAATGTTATGCTCTGTTTTATTATCATAAATATGCGTCTAAAATACTCAATTCGTCAATACTTGAATCACATATCTTCTTCCTAGCCTCCAAAACAAAATCTCCCCATGGTCCGTACTTTTCCCAACTTTTCCCCACTAATTATCGTCTCTTCGTCACTACTTAAGAATGGACTGTTCACGTGTTCAGCGCATGCCATTGCTATTGTTATAATTATCTCGTAACAATATACATGTTGCAATTATAATTATGTTCTGGGGACTGCAGCTTTTTTTAAATCAGATTGAAGTAGCTTTTACGTCCTTCAACTACCTACCTATCATGGGAATATTCCGTCACATTCTTGCCACTGAATTTGGTCGAGTTCAGCCTGAAACTTATAGTGGTGTTAAATGAAATTGTGATAGATTATTGGCGTGAAAGAGCACGGCGTAAAAACGCGTTTATTGGCGTAAAAGGACACAAAATTATTTTAAAATTTCCATAACTGTATTTAAAATTTTCGAATCACTCTAGTCGAATAGCCAAACCGCTTCTGTGCCAACTAAAAAGGACCTATGCCTCTGTCTCTATGCATCATATTATTGTGAATAGGTTTACCGCAAACTAAACTTCTAATGTGTCAGGTAAATTCTTCTTAGCCACAACCGCCTATGGAGCGTGCTAACAACGTGCCAAGCTCGCGTCGGCTCCAAACATACACTAAATTTATATCGACTGAATTGAAATAATATGGTATATCCCTATACAAGAAGTTAACAATCATAATCATGGACTTAACATTATGCTGAACATTTGTATTCCACAGTCCCCCCCCCCACTTACAGCAACACGCCCGGATTTGTTGCTATTATCAGCATTCAGCTGATAGATAGTTTCCAAAGCTCTCCCGAAGATGAGCTTGTCTGAATCAATTAAACGTTCTTCCAGGTACACAGACTAGTTATGGAAAACACTTCTTCGTCACATTTACATCTCGAAATGGGTATCGTGAATTCGACTACATATTCGTTGTTATTACAGCTCTTGAAGAAACAAACGTGATGATTTTTAGTGAACAGACAGGAACGCCATTAGTAATAAAAAAAATCATTAAAGAAGGAGGAGTTTTAAGGCAGAAACTGCAAAATTCATGGCGATTGAGGGAACTAATAAGTGACCAGAAAGGTATCGAGATTATCTCATCCGGAGATATTTCAGTTCTGTGCTTAAATATCGGTGAGGGTCTCAAATTTGAAGGAAGTTTAGCGTTACCAACTCTATATAACGCCACGGGTTTTGCCTATTATGCAGCATCATATTTACCATTTTGCACTAATTGTACTTCAAATCTTGCTGTCATACCAGCAGTGCACAGCTTTCGTGTTATGATTACTACCGGGAGAAATATAACTTATCGCTCTAACGGTGATGTTGAGATAATTAATAAATATAAAAGGCATAGCATATATAAATATCCTAGAAAACGTAATGTGTTATACGTCTCAAGTAAAAAGGATTTATCTGGAACACTCGTTGTTTCAAGGTCACCATTGACCGTGATATCAGGCGTTGATGATCGCAGATTGCGTGGATCATACAGTTTCCTAGAAGCGACCCTTTTGCCGACTTATTTGTGGGGCTATGAATACATCTTGACAACAATAGGGACAACGGAAAAAAAACACAGAGACATTTTTCGCATTTTTGCATCACAAAATAATACTGTTGTCCAATGTTCATACTGGACAAAAGTGTTGTCATCTGGGTCATACGTGGAGTTGACCCTAAATAAAGATTTAGCTTCATATATTAAGTGCAATAAGCCATGTCAAGTTGTTCAGTATATCCGAAGCGAATCAATTTTTTGGAAAAATAGAATATGGTCAATGATGGCTCTTCCTGCAGTAAACCAGTTTCTTTCGTTATATCACGTTGCCCTCCCGTTTGATTCACAAATTTCCTACTCCATCACAATAGTTATAGAAAAGGAAAACGTCGATGGTTTACACACGGATGGGCTGAAATTGAGTGATCTAGATTGGAAAGGCATCAATGCATCGAAATATGTTTGGACAGTGATAAATCTACCAGATCTAAGCAAGGTTGCAATATATCACACTTCTTCCTCGGTAAAGTTCGGTCTCATTGTGTTTGGATGGAACTATAAATCTTCATTTGGTTACCCTGGTGGCTATGATTTAAACCCTCTATCACATGGTATGCAGTGGTGTATAGCCAGCATAGATAAATAAGATGAGGAGACATGTTCGTATATTCATGTTAACAGACTGAACATGAATATATGAACATGAATATAATATTAACATAATAGCATGAATATATGAACAGTCCCCCCAATTATAGTGCTAGGTGCCTTTATGGTATTACTAGACTCTTTTTTTTTAAAAAATCGGATCAAAAAATGATATCAAATGTTGCATTGTCATTGAAATTCAAACAAACTTTTTAAATTCTTTTCCGATTTTAGGGCCATTCTCACACAAATTATGATAACGATGATATTTTCAATATTTTTTCAGGACCATCGCCAGGTAAGCCTAGAAACGTTTCAGTGGCTGTTGATAGAAGCATTATGATCGTTAAATTGTTGCCAACGGAAGTTTTTGCTGGTCATGCTAATCACTACTTAGTGTCTTTGAGAAAAAATGGAAGCGATACTTTTGGGAAACCACAGGTTGCAACCAGTCCGTTTATCCACGATTTTGGCAGTAAGAATACATTTACCACGTTAATATTATTTAGAAGCTGAACGAGACATAATTCTCCTCGTTATGTTTCAGCATTGGAATACTTTGAAGTAGAAAAAGTATTTTGAAATAGTATTCCAGATGAACTTGGATAACAACATGCATGCAGTTGATCTAGAATGCCATTCAGGCTCTTGTGGAAAATTGCAGAGATTATTTCTGAACTTTCTTCTTTCATTCTTTGTGTAGTTTCAGTATTTTATTTTTTTCATTTCATTTGATCTCTGGGGATGCGCAGCCCTACTTTCGGCATTTTACGCTTATCATGATCCTGGTTGATAGCCGTGATCGAATATTTCTTCCTTCTTCTTCAGGCCTGTTTATTTTTCAGATGAATCTGGAGTGTACACTGTGAAAATCGAGGCTGTTGATATTGGCATTGTTGGTGAAGCTGCTTACTATTACAATATAACAATACAGAGTGAAATTACCCAGGAATCTATTACCCCTGAAGCTAAGACGTCTCAGTGCAATATGCCTGCTATTGCAGGAGGATTAGCCGGAACCGTTACATTCGTTGGTCTTGCAGTGATTATTTATCTTTTCTTAATGCAAAGACGAAATAAAGGAAGTCAAATTCAAATGACCTCAGTAAGACCTCCCTCTGAACCTAAATTATATTTATTTTTGGGAGCTAGGTGTGTCAAATGAAAATACAGGTCTTTTTAACAAAGATCCTGTTAAAGATTATGTAATTTATCTATTGTAGGAATATCAATCCCGCCAGGAAAGTGAACATACTACACAAGATGGGTTCGTTAATTTTGGGGAAATAAACGAATATAACGGTAATTTTTTTGTGAACACCTTTTTTAGGCAATGCCGATCGTATATTTGATGTATTTTTTAGATATAATTCCAGGATATAATTCCACGTTTTAGTACCTCTGCCTGGCGAAATTTCGTACATTACGATCTTAAAAGACTGGGAAATCTGCCCAGACCGTTTGCAGATTTTGGACGAGACACTTGGATCAGGACAATTTGGCATCGTAAAGCTAGGGTTATACACGTCTCTTCTGGAAGGACACAATAAGGTTGCTGTCAAAATGTTAAAAGGTATATAATGGGTGAATTTATTATCCAAAAATCTTTCACTTTTTATGAATTTTTAACACCACCATAATCTAAAATCCCTTTCTCGTTGGGCAGCAACACTCAACTGAAAGGGAGCATATGCCCTTTCCCTTTTTCATTTAACTCTATAAGAGAGAAGAAGTTAATATATTGAACTATATCAATATGATAGGAGGAAAAGTAGGAGGAAAAGCAGTGAAAGTAACTATATTAATTAAGTAGCTAAACTAGGAGCAGCAAGGAGCAGCGGATCTAGATGGGAATGATACAATGCCGTCTGCGTATAGAATGAGCCATTGTAAATCCCATACAGATCGGCCAAGAGTATTTTTACGTGCTTTTGAAATGAATAGATCAAGCGTTTATGCAATATGCATATTAGGGCATGTGTGTAACAAAGTTATGACTATATTAATTAAGTTTAGTTTCATCAAAGTTAATAATTATATGAATTATTAATGATCAAAATACCTTTATTGAGAATTACAGATGTACACATGTGACAAAAACACTGCGCAGCGATCGGTATATGATACTCACCAATTTCACAACTGTATTTTATTGCTCGTTGTATTAAAGTTTTAGACTCTTAGTTAGTAGGGACCTTACGATTGCATGACGCCAACGGCAACGGGAACGCCAGACGAGAAATATCAACACTGCGCATGCGTATTGCTGGAAGGTCACGTTGCCGCGAGCTAGGACGACGGCGCTTCGGATGTTTTGACGTTGTGCGAAAACGTGACACATAAAGAGCGAAATGTCTAAGGAAAACAGGTAAATGAACAATCTTTATATGCATATGGTTCAATAGTTTTAGAAAACACGACAGAATATCAATCAGATTGTTATATTATGTAAATTCATGGCAGGAAATGTTGATAATGTAAACAAACCTAGGTGCAAACATATACGTATTTTTTACCGTATTTATATAGATTTATGTTAAATTTGTACACGATATGTACACTTATATTTGAATAATCGCTCTAGAATTCGATCCCTATCTTTTGTATTTAAGAAAGATATATTTAAAAAATATATTAAATCGACATACTATATAGGTTTTATTTTAATGCGAGAAATATTGTTAAACTCTTTCAGTACTGCACCTATGAAGTGGTCAGAAGCACATGACGTGCATTTCTTAAAAGAAATGACTTTGTATGAGCCATGGCGTTACAAGAAAGGAACTACTGAAAGAGGTGATATCTGGGCAAACCTTGCAACAAGTTTGGGTGCATATCCTGAGTTAACATTTAGAGTAACACAGAGGTCCATTAGGGATCGTTATCTTCTTCTTGAGAGAAGGTATAAAAAGAAAATTGCTGAAGAGGAAAAATCCTCCGGAATATCCCCAGAACCCACAGAATTGGATAATTTGATGGAAGATATTGTTGCTTTGTTTGAAGAGGCTGATAAATTTGAAGTAGAAAAGAAGAGGAGAGCTGAAGAAGAGGCTGCTGAAATTCAAGAAGTTAGAAGAGTGTCCTTGGAAACTTTTAAAGAGACAAAAGAAAGAAGCCCAGATGAAAAACCCAATAAAAAACAAAGGACAAGTGGTGCTGATGCAATAGCCTTTACAAAGAAAAATTCAACAGGAGGGAAAGCAAAAAGAAAGTGAATTGGAATTGAGAAAGCAAGAGATGAGCTTAAAAAAGATGAATTGAAATGGGAAAGGCAACTTAGAGAACAGGAACTAGAAATGAGAAGGAAAGAGCATGAGGAAAGAAATAACATGAATTTGGCATTGTTACAACAACAGCAGCAACAAACTAATGCAATTCTAGCAATGTTGCAGAAATTTAGCAGTAAGTAGTTTGTCTGTTCAACATTTGATAAACATTGTTTTGCCATCCCTGTTTAGTTTTTTATAGTTACACATATAATGATTACTAATGAGTAATGACAGTTCAGCAGCTGTGCCCTTTCTTCTTTTCTCTCACTAATGATTAAAGTTACCACATACATGCAGGGGTAGCTTAGAGTGCATGGAGCTTGAATGGAATTGAAAAATTTATACTAATTTATACTAATTTATGATATATTTGTCACAATTATTCTGTCAGGGAATGGGCATAGCTGATTGACTTTAGCATTAGCATTAATGTTGATCATTTTAAAATTGACTGTTGTTTTAGAAAGCCAGGAAAATATAATTTGTAATTATACATACAGTTTGACATCCAAAAACCATATAAATGGATATGTTCTTTTGATTGATACTAACTAAAGTTTTAACATTTGTGTGAAACAATTCCCAATTTGGAAGTCAAATTATAACATATAAAACAGAGATTGTTATTGAAAATATTCATAAATTGTTGGTGGGTCAATGCCAAAAAATTTGCTTGTTGTTGATCCATACAAAATAGATCTTGCATTGTGTAGTAATGCACACACAATATACATTCTGCCAACTGCACTTAGATGAATCTTTAAGTTTTTCTTAAAATCAAGAAATTTGAAGTAATTTACAATGTCACCGAAAATCCACTCAACTGATACCCTCACTTGGCTCATTGACTTATTCCATTCCTTTTGGAGCTCTGTTAGCATTGCACCTCGAAACGGACCTTGAATCTGTCTAGTCACTGGGTAGGCTGGGTCACCATAAATAGAGAGAACATTGCCGTCAGTGTCCAATGAATGGTTTTGAAGTTTTGGAAGGACTTGTGATTGTAATAGCATTGCACTGTCATGACGTTTTCCTTCCACTGGTCCAAACAGATTTGCAATTAAACCATTTGGTGCAACTATATCGATTGAAATTTTATGGCATGAACTTTTTTGTGACCATTATAGACCAATCTCTGGTATTTCCCAGGCCTGGATATGGGTCTTACCGTGCCATCTATAAACCCCCAACAGTTGTTTAAAGCAGCCCCTTTCAAATGAATCGCCTCCGCGAAAATTTCCAAATTTTGAGGATCCAGCCAAGGTTGTTCGAACGTTGCGAACAAATGATTCCAAGTATCATAAATGAAATTGGACATCATATTTGCAATCATGCACAATTGAGGCTCTGGCCTGGCAAATCGAGGTATCAAGTCTGCGTACCTGCACGGATAAGCAAAACGCTTTAAAAATATGCACATCGCTTCGACTGCGTCAACTTTAAGGCCATTATAGCAAGTCAACTCAGCTGGCACACGAAGAACATCAATCAGATTGTAGATATCATTTCGATAAAATCGAAACTCAGTTTTGCATTCATCATCAGTCATGCTGTCCAGATAGAAGTCATCATAGGTAAAGTATGGAATGTCCGGATTCTTTGGCTTGCTGGCGTTATATAGAAGGGCATATTCTACGTCGTCTATTGCATTACATCCGTAAGCAAACACGATAGCGTCTCTAAGTTTGGGCATCGGCAAAAAAAATGTTCGAGTGCAAATAATAAAACGTCAAAGGAGTTTGAAAAAGATAACAAAAAGATATATATACCAATAAAAAACAAAATGAAATGTTATAAAAACCTGCCGAAAATAATTAATTTACAAAATCTTGGACACTTTGGAAGTCTTTCGCCCTTCGCAATAGTTTAGAATTTAAAATGGATGAAACAGACGTACTACGCGAAGATTTAAAAACGTAAGGTTAAATTTTGGCGGGAGACGGCAACGCCGTCCGTGCTCCCGTTCCAGTCCTTAGACGTTCCCGTTGCCGTTGGCGTCATGCAATCGTAAGGTCCCTAACACTTTTGTTTAGAAAACGCCACGGAACTTGATCTATCAGATCTGATAACTGAGTTAGAAACCTTGAAAAGAATTAACAACGACCTACACCCAAATATTGTAAGATTGATCGGATGTTGTTTTTCGAAAGGTAATGTCTGTAAATATGTTATTAGCTAAAGAATATACTCGTACGTGCTTTTGCCTAGCTACGGCTTCGAACTATGAAATTATCATTTTAGGTATAGCTTTTGAATTTGTAAAAGTTATTGTTAGATGACGGATAATGTTCATTTGTTTTAGGGAAACTAATGGTTGTAACAGAGTACTGCTCTCCAGGTAATCTGCAAACCTTTCTCAGAAAAAGTAAAGTCGGTGACAACTCCACTACATCTGACTTGCGAAATGTTCAACTGATATCGACTGTAAGTGGTCGTGAACTATTGAAAATGGGTTTGGATGTAGCAAGTGGAATGGTACATCTTTCCGATCTGAAGGTGAACATATTTGTTGCATACGATTTCAAAGTTAGACAGTTCGTTGCAATTTTACCCTTAAACGCAATAATCAACATATCAGACATATTTAGTTTCTACTGTATAAAAATAGGTATTATTGAAAAGATATGGTAGCAGAATTGTGTAATACACGTAGATCGCCTATATTAGGATGGGATGCACGGTAACTTCTCCCTGCAATCAATATGACTATAAAAAGAAAGGCAATTTATCAATCCACCTTAAAAGCCCTCATGCATTTCAGTTTGTTCATCGTGATTTGGCTGCAAGAAATATTCTCCTTAGCTGTGATGTGGCAAAAATTTCAGACTTCGGGCTGACAAGGGACATCGCAAATGTTGAGGAATACATACGAACAAACCAGGTATAATAATTTTAAAAGAAATATGATAAAAAAGTGAAATCATACTACGGACGGGCTTCGTGCTAAAGGTTATTGAATAATATAGTTCAGGAAACAAAATGCAAAATTCACCGAGCTTCACACCCTGCAATTGAAAACTGTTAACCAGCAATGATAGTGAAAAAAGTTTCTGATACTCCTAGTAGAAAGAACTTTGCGCATGCAGCCAAGCAGGCTCTTGCATATCCTATATACATAAGTTCACTATTCCAAACTTTTAAAATGTCTTCGTATATTTCCTTATTATTACACAAAAATGTTTCTAGCTGCTCTGTATGTGTACGTGCGAACTTCACTGGTATATAAGCGAATTGAACGTTTTGAAGTGAGCGTGGGTAATAGTGTTCGGGCACAGTTGGGCGTGAACGTATAATAAATGTAGGAATGTAGTTTAAAACCAAAATTTTTTGGGGTAGATACCATTTATGAAACTACAAAATTAATAAGTATTTAAAATTAATTTGTTGCAATGATTCTTGTAGGATCTACTACCTATTAAATGGATGGCTTTGGAAAGTTTACTTTATGGTCGCTTCACAGTTGCTAGTGATGTGTAAGTTCAAATATAACTTTGGGTAAGGTCTTTTTAAATTCAGGCAGTAATTTTTATTAAAAGTTTCAGATGGAGTTTTGGCGTTTTTCTGTATGAATTGGTAACTTTAGGTAAGTTTATCGATATACTAAAATTTTGAGTCGAGAAAATATGAACTTGCAATATATGTTCATGAATCTTTTGGGTCGTACAACGCCTGGGATAAGAATTTGCTATATTCAACCTAAAACATTTTTAGCCATACAAACAACGAATTTTTGGTACAGATTCTTTCTGAACAGCTGGGGATTACCTGCCGCTCCTTTTATACCCTTTCGATTAGATGCCTGTCCAATTTCCTCCGCATTTACTGTTTCTCTTTCTAAGACCGTCGAGGAAAATAGTATCCACTATTTAGGATAGGTAAACTCGTTGATGCATGACACGAATTATCATTCTTAATTATAGTCTCCTTTAATCCATAATGGTGATTATCAAGTTAAATATATATATATATATATATATATATATATATATATATATATATATATATATATATATATAATATATATATATATATATATATATATATATATATAGTACGCTTGCATGTTGCGTATATTTTCAAACCTTTTTAACAAGAATAACGTTTGGACAGGTGGGGAACCATACAGCGAGATATCTCCGCTTGAAATGCAAAATCATATCAATCGTGGTTGCCGATTCCCGAAACCTTTTAATTGCTCAAATGAATTGTAAGTAAAATTAGTTTTTTCAGCATTCTGCAAAAATACCCACCATTTTTAAGACCGCTTATTTATTTCAAAATTGCCTTTAAGGGATACAGCAATAAAAAATATCTTTGTCTATTTTAAAAGAACATGATTATTATAAATTTATTACCTCTCTAGATATTTTCGAATGAAATTATTTTCTATACGCCATTTTTGACGTGCATATTCTTACCGTGATAATTATACGTTATGTCATAATTAGGATGAAAATTTGTTTTGTAATATCAAATTAACCATGTAACGAATTGACAGTTTCATGTCATTACAATTGCACTTATCTCAAATTAAAACGTTTGAATTGTAAGAGTTTGATACTAAAGCGTGAACATGCATATAGTCGTTATTTTTTAAACCGCAAAACTACTTTTGAAAATTTTCTTTTCAACATTCTTTTCAACAAATTAGGAATATTTTTTTGCCACATGCCTTAAAACCCAAAATTTTCTTTGATTTCTATTCAGATATGAAATAATGATGAACTGTTGGCGCGATCATGAAAAAATGCGACCAAATTTCTCGGAAATACGACAACATCTTCATGACATGTTAACCGATAACCAAGTAAGCTCATGTACATAGAACTATAAAGCCGGTTTTCACTATTGCATAACATAAGCATAAACGATTAGACATTCCGACTTAATTAAATAACGTATATGTAAAAGAATAAGCAGGAAAATTATTCATTTGAAATTTATTTTGTCTTTCACTGGCTTATGTTTTATAAATCCAGAAGCTAATGTCGATTCGAGTGCTGCATGTTTCATTGCGTTTCATTGTTTCTCTTTTTGCCTTTTCTTATGCTTACGCTTATACATGTCGCAATTGGAAGCCAGACTTTTAGTTTTGGTTTCTTTACTATGTAACTCGCGATTTTGCCGAGGATATGGGCACGCCGAACTGTTACAGTATGTAACGATCATACAACTAATATTATAATTAAGATAACAATATATTTATTTTCAGAAATCGTATATCAATTTGCATCAAGTAAAAGGCGAAGACTTGCGAAGAAAGATTAATATCTAAGATCACGTCACTGCGAGAAATGAATGTGTTTACGTCTGAGAAAGATCTTCTTTCAATCGAACTAAATATCTCTTTGAAAAACATAATTAGAGGCACATTTTTTTATTTAGTATTTTTTGCACGAGAGTAAATTCTCTATAGTAATATCAATACAGTTTGGAAGTGCTAAGGTTATAAGAGCATATATATAGACAAAGCATGACTTTAGAATAATTTTTAGTACGACGCTATGACTATAGTGTTTGTAGTTTGTAGCGCTGACGAATAGGAAGCACGATAATTGAAGACAGCCGTACATATCTTTAAATTTATTTAGTCTATTAACATAAACATCAATCTGAGATATACAAATAATTCACCCTTTAAATTTGAGTCTCACTAACGAACGAGACCTTGACCTGCTAAATAGCCATACGATTCGCGAATCGCTGTCGACTTCTTAGAGGGACGAGTTTTTGACATGAAATGGCATAGCTAGCCTTACAATTTTGTCCCGTTTTGTAAATTTCGAGTTATTATATATAATTATTAATGTCTTTAGAAATTCATTGTTTTCAAAATCAATGAACACCACAATATTAGCATAGCGGGACAAATTGTCAGGCTGGCTACGCTACCTAAATATCCCTCATTGAAACTTTAATACGTATTAAACGTTTGGATTCGTTATAATAAACCTTGATCTATCTTAAGTTTATCGAATATGTCACGCTATGCTTGTAAAGTGGATGTGCGCATTTAAAGTCTCGTTGCATGCATGTTGTCGACGACACTTCGCTGAATTATCTAATGATTGAAAAGGGAAAAAAACTACAACTTTTTGAAACCAGCAAACATCAGAAGACTCGTTTTCATGCATGCATTTTCTTTCCCCCTCTCTCTCAGCCATTGCTCTCAGAATTCTCAATTATAGATCTTTGTTGCAATATATAATGAATGAAAGTGAGAATAAAGTACTTAAACACTCGAGTGATTGCATAGATTGCATTAGACAATAATGTCGCTTATTTATTTATTATTTGGATGGCTGTATTTTACCGAGGACGAAAACACTCGTAGAACTCATACATCACTACGTCCACGGGGTACAGTGCGCGTATATATATTTTCCGTATGTCACGTTTAGGTGTGACATAACGAGTTTGGGACACTCTCCCGCCATTTTTATTGCTGATGTTGTGAAAATAAAAATGGTCTTTGGTTGGTGTATGAAACGAAATTATCATCTTAAACATCTTTAGATAAATAAAATTTACTCTTTGTATGTATAATTTAAAAATATTCGCTTGTTCACTTGTCGTCTTTTACCTTGTTCACTTGTCGTCTTTTACCTTGGGTGTACTCACTCTGAATTTAGGCTGGAGATTTTTTAGATTATGGAGAAACTATCGCTGAAAAATACCGTGATGCGTTGCGCCAATTTTAGAACTTTTATTTATTTTAGGGCAATGAAGATAATTCGAACGTTTTTTGGTAGTGTTCTGTGTCCCCTAAATTCATTCGAAATATGTTGTTCCCGATTTTTTCTTGAAATATCAAACCAATGGAATGAAATAGCAACTGTTGTGCTAACGAAGAGAAAAGTTAATTTCTGTTGTCGGCGTAAAAACATGCAATATTTTCCTTCAAACAGAGGATGATGAAGACAAGAAAGCGAATATGCGTTGATCGGGACCACTTCACTAGTTCACTTTGTCACCCATCAAACATTGATTTTAAATTTAAGAAGATCACTGAAGAAGACCTGCATAAGAGCCTCAACAGTCTAAAGTTAGAAAAGGCAGTAGGTTCGGATAAAATTTCAAATAAATTATTCACTTCTGCAGGCACTACTATTTACGAGACATTACTTTACATATTTTATTTAATTTTGGCAACACGTTTATTTCCAGATGACCTAAAGCTATAGCCAAGGTAACTGCAATCTACAAAGAGGGTGAGAAAAGTGAATGTGGGAACTATAGACCAATCTCAGTCATATCATTGCAAAAATTATAGAAAAATTAATATCCAATCAATCAACCACTTTCTTGAAAGCCAATAACATAATTTCAAGACATCAATCAGGTTTTCGAAAATCTTATTCCGCAAAGACTGCCCTAGTAAATATCATCAATGAATTATTACACAATATGAACAAAGGATTAATAAATGGGATCTTGTTCCTTGATCTGAAAAAAATATTTGATACAGTGAACCACAATATTCTATTGGGAAAATTAAAACTTTATGGTATCAAAGGAGTCGAACTAAAATTATTCCAAACCTACTTAACAAACAGAAAAAAGTCATGCACAGTTCAAGGCTCAAATTTTCGATACAATAAGATAATATGTGGCGTCTTCCAAAGATCTAACTTGGGTCCCCTACTATTTTCATTATATATCAATGATCTTCCTAGTTGCCTTACTCAAACGCAAACCTCCATGTTTGCAGATGATACAAACATATCATGTGTTGGTAAAACACTTGCAAAAATAGAAAGTAAAAATAACAACGACCTTCATAATATCAATAAATGGCTTGAAGCAAAGAAATTAACCCTAAATGTTAAGAAAACAGAATTTATGATGATTGCATCCAAACATAAACTAAAACAACTCGCAGGAAAACTTCAGATACTAATTGGCACCCACTCTATAAAACAGATTACAAGTAAAATTGTTTTGGGTCTTACTATTGACCACGAACTTACGTGGAGTGAAAACAGTGACAACCAATGCAAAAAAATAACTCAATCAATTGCATCATTGAAAAGAGCTAAACCTTATGTCACCCAAAATGCATTGATTGAAATGTACAATTCTTTAGTGCTACCTCACTTTACGTATTGTTCAAACGCATGGAATGACGATAACCGCACACACATAGACAAGCTGTTTAAATTGCAAAAAAGATCAGCGAAAATAATTACAGGATCTAATTATGAAGTCACTTCGCATGAGATTTTTAGTCATTTAAGCTGGGAACCAATAGAAAAACTACTTAAAAATGTGAATTGATCATCACATTTAAAGCCATACAAGGCTATCTAACAGGATATATATGTAAGACATGTTAAAATATACCCGTAATAGCACGTACTCCCTCAGACGTAATGACTGTAAACTTTATCTAAACGAACCTAAAACTGAATTTATGAAAAAATCTTTTTCGTACAGGGGAGCTTCTTCCTGGAATGACCTTCCTGACGAAATCGTTAATACTTGCATGCAATAACTTTTCTATCACTGGGTTTAAAACTAAATTATACAACAACTATTTTAGAACATTGACGTAAATATAATGCAAGTACATTATCTTGAACCATGGGGTTTTGTGACATATCTTATTCCATTTTTTTACTTTCTTTCTCTTTTTTCCCTAAATTGTGAAATATTTTAATAGAGCGTTTAGTTTTAAGTCATTTGTAATCAATTATTTGTACTTAAATACCAACGGCCTCTTGAAAATCAGCCTAGACTGAAGAGCTACCGTTGTTAAAAAATTCTAATAATAATGATAATAACCCAGATCTAATGCTTGGAAGGCAGCAATGCTAACCATCACACCATGAACGCAACATTCGACACATGATTGTACTTTTTGTTACAAATCGTAGGTGGCAAATAGATGCAGAGAATGAAGAAAATCGTAGAAAGAAAAAGCTTCCACCCTAGTTTCAGTGGAAAAAATCATGGTGGACAGTTTTATACGCATCGTTATAATCCTAGATTAAAAAAATGCGTCTCGAAACATATCGCAAGTTGGTTCTGTGGTGTAATGGTTAGCACTTTGGACTTTGAATCCAACGATCCGAGTTCAAATCTCGGCAGAACCTACAACCGCCTTTAACGCAAATCACGCTTTCAAGTCAAGATAATTGCAGGTCTTGTGAAAGTGAGGCACATTTAAGATGATTTGTTGAAGATTTAGGGCAGTAAAGATAATTCGAACGTTTTTTGGTAGTGTTCGGTGTCCCGTAAATTCATTCAAAATATGTTCTTTCTGATTTTTTTTGGAAATATAAAACCAATGGAACGAAATAGCAACTCTTAAAACATGCAACATTTTTTCATTCAAACAGGGATGATGAAGATCCAAAAGCGGATATGCGTTGACCGGGAATCGAACGAAACTCTACTGCTTAGAAGGCAACAATGCTAACCATTACACCATCAACGCAAGATATGATAATATTCGACACATCATTGTACTTTTTGTTACAAATCAAAGGGTAGTAAATAATTGCACAGAATGAAGAAAATCATTGAAAGAAAAAAATTCCACGCTAGTTTGAATCGAGAAATTCATTGTGAACAGTCTTATATTCATCGTTATAATCCAGGTGTAATGGTTAGCACTTTGGACCTTGAATCCAACGATCCGAGCTCAAATCTCGGCAGGACCAACTTTAACTCTAATCACTCTTTACGGAAAAAATTGCAAGCATTGCACGTCTCGTTGAATCGAGGCGCTTTTTAAGATGATTTGTCGAAGATTTAGGGCAGTGAAGATAATTCGTACGTTTTTTTGTAGTGTTCGGTGTCCCGTAAATTCACTCAAAATATGTTGTTCCTGATTTTTTTTTGGAAATATAAAACCAAATGAATGGAATGAAATAGCAACTGTTTTGTTAACAAAGGGAAAAGTTAATTTCTATTGTCGGCCTAAAAACATGCAATATTTTCCTTCAAACAGAAATGATGAAGATTGAAGACCCAAAAGCAAATATGCGTTGACCGGGAATCGAACCCAGATCTACTGCTTGGAAGGCAGCAATGCTAACCATTACACCATGAACGCAAGATATGACAATATTCGACACATCATTGTACTTTTTCTTACGAATAAAAGGGTAGCAAATAGGTGGAGAAAATGAAGAAAATCATATAGAAGTAAAAAAATTGCACGCTAGTTTGAATGGAGAAATTCATCGTGAACAGTTTTATTTGCATTGTTTAATCATGATGAAAAAAATGCGTTTAAAAGCCAATCTCAATCTGGTTCTGTGTGTAATG